ATATCGTCTGTATACGAGGAAACCGGTGTGCTCGACTCAGACCAGCTTTATCACCATCGGTTTTACGGAATGCTATTTCGCGCTGGTCATAATGGGTTACGGAATACTTTTTGCCGTAATCGTGTTTGCGTTTGAGTGGTTGTGGAATAAGAGGTAAAAGATTTAACAAAGATCTTATCATCATGACTCGCACTATTTGTTATATTTTTGCACAGGCAAACTATGCGCGCGATGAAGAAAGTTATAGAAATCAACAATGACATGGAACACTTCGATTAAATAAAGATTATAAAAATGTACGTGAAAGAAAATAAAAGCATCCAATTTTTCTAAGCTTTCTGCTACTAAATTTAACTAAACTGCAAATTTTATAAAAACATTTTATTTGAGTTTTATTACTTCATTGAATATTTGTGTACTTTAGTAATAAGAGTAAGTCGACATTGTATTAACGTGTATCGTTATTTACAACATAGAGTAATTATTATTAGAAGAGTTTTAATCATTTAAAAAGTTGTTAATATTTTCCTTTTATGTATTATGTGAAATAAATTACTAAAATAAATATATATAATATATATAATATCATTAAAAAACTTTACCCTCTTTGACAATTCTTATGAACATACATGCTCTTGGAATTGCTTAATGTTTATAAAGTATAAATTATAAATAAGTCATAGAAGTTATAATGGTTTGCTACAAGATTTGCTATGATTTTATAGTCAAAATCAATCGCGATGATTTCTCAGAGATGCAATAATATATGTATAAAGAAGCTTATTTTAAACTGCAGAACAAAAATATTAATTTAAACAATTCTTTATTTAGTTGAAATATATAACAAAAAATATTATAAAAGTGCGTGACTGATTAAATTCTTTTTATTTCTATCTCTTTTTCTTAATTTTTCCCTTTCGCGCGTATCTAACACTTGATTATATATTAATTTCATTTTGAATGCAGAATACAAAAACATAATGCATTTCAAAATTGTAAGCTACTTATATAAATATGCGAGCGTTAAACGCGCGCCGGTAAGAAATGCTCGTAATAATTTTTCGTAAAATCTACCATGAGATCCAACGTGCACTCGGGCAATTCTTCAACACATGTTGCCGGACTGCCGGCAAAACGAGTGAACGATGGCACGATAGTCTCAGGTGGCACAACTGCATCATCCTCAATGTAGCAGCAATCTTTTAGAACTGATCGCCTCCCCTATAGCGACACAAGTAGGATTGATCATGAGAATACTTTGCTTGTATTCACTTGTTATATCAAGTAACAGCTATTATACATACAATTATAGCATTCTTCCCAATGTAAACATAAGAACCAACCAGTGCTGCATTCACAACAGCCCGCTCTCCCACAAACACATGATTTCCCATTGTTAGAGGGAAAAAGGCAACCCTAATCAAGATTCATTACTTCAGTATTTAGAATTCAACGTAATTATATTAAAGTGACACTTGTGTTCACAAATTGTTTATTTTAACATTATAGACTGACAACGATTTTTGAGAAAAGTTAAAACTGTTAATACAACGCATATTAATAACTTGACTTACCCTCTGCTGAATTTCTTGAAAGGTGGTCGAATGACAGCATTCTTGCTAATGATACAATAGCGACCTGTCCTGACATTAGCCAGATCGCCTCTAATGATAGCATCGGACTGTACTATTACCTTTCCATGCAGTACAATGTTCTGCGAGCCGCATAGCACAGTAAGCCTGCTCACCTTATTTCCGGAGGCCTAAAATAATCGAAAAGTAAGGTTATGTATCACGTTCGAAATATCCACGAACATCAGCGTCGCGAAATAATTGAGTTTGTCAAATTATTTTTATCTAATAATCATTATAATTATTTCTCTCCAATTTCAGATATGTCTCATTAATTTAGTGTATTTTAATTTCCTTAAATGTTTATTACCGTTTCAACGTATTCGGCTTTGTTGTAATAAATATCCTGCGGCTCCATCTTGAAATATCCTCGTATTACACGATTACGTATTACTCGATGCTTAAATTGTATAAACAATATCAAGTGTCATTTTTTTATAAACAACAATAATAGCAAGTAGAAATCTGTCTGAATACAATCAGCTGATGAATCGAATGCATATCGCCATCTGTTGACAAAACCGTGCATCATTTTTTGCGACGTGGAAAAGAATGCAAAAATTCTCAAAATATTTTTATGAATGATAAAAGCACAAAATAATACTATTAAAATTCTTTTTTTCATTTTTTCTTATTTTTCTGTTTTTTGAAATTCAATCTTACAAATTACACGATATCAAAGATTAACATAATTTATAGTATTTTTATCAATAGTTAAATATTATTTAATTATTATATTATTATATTATATTATATTATATTATTATTAACTTATATATTTATTAATTGTCAATCATATTGATTGATATCATAGTCTTATAAAAATAGTTCTACATATACAGGATAAATCAAAATTATTTATCCTTTAAAGAATATATTTCTAATTTAATTCTGAGATGACTTTTCTTATAAAACTTTGTCCAAAACTTAATTTTTTAGTTATAAAAAAAATAATTTTTGTACTACGGATCAAGTGCATAAAGTTTTTTTGGATGTCACTTAAAGATTTTTAAGACAGATTTTTAAGACATTTTAGAATGTTCCAAACAATACAAGGTGCAAAATTGAGACATAGGATGTCCTTAAAAATGTCTTTATGATATTTTTAACATTTATATTCTAACTTTGGACTTATGTCTGAGAGTCTTCTTGGAAGAATGTTTCAAAAATGTTCTGAGAGCATCTCGAATCTTACAATTAACATCACAAAGATTGCAAGTGATAAACGGACAACATACTGGAGGCAGATGAGATCGATGCGGAAGTTGTTCAAACATTTTATGCGAGTCAAGCATGTATCTTCATAGCTTTATGATAATATGCACTACAGCACATATGTACAGACCATTACAGAGTAAATGTACTACGGTATGATCTGTTTGCTTAAGATGACGAAGTATTTATGCAAATTGTATCATTTCAAAAACGGGATTACCGCACATAATAAATAGAATGCGCTAATATTCAACTTCATATACACACAACTTTTTCATTGCCATTACAATCAATTCATCACACCAAAATTAATTTATACCATAGAAATAATAAAAAAATGTTTTACGCAGAAAAGATTTTTTTCGTCGGCACATTGTAATTGCGCAAAGTATATAAGAAAATATGCAATCTTTAAAAAAATTACATTGCAAATACGACGATAGTGTACATAAAATCTCGCACATGCGGTTTTTCGCACATAAAATATAGACTCCCGTAGCATCGGGATTCCTTGCTCCATCATTATTGCGTCTCAAATTGCGCACTCGATAATTACGCTAGCGAAAGAGATCCGTGAGAACAGCGAAAGCTGACGAAATCCTAAAATCACAGAACGGCTACGCCGCGGGAAGTAATCTCTTGATGGGCTATACATTGTAACGTCCGTTATGAATGTTAAATATTTCACATGCGACAATAACATCGGCCATTATTGTCGATTGTCCCTTCATTTTTCCGGATTCATAAGCGATTTTATCAAAAGGCGAGGATACACGGAACCTGGCTATACACGCAGAAAGATTATGGCACGCAGATAATCAGTACTGTCGACAATCCCGAAGGGGCCTATTTGCAGTCGCTCTACGAATACAAAAGACGTTTGAAATGTTCTTCATCGTTTTATTGCATCTTTACAGTGTTGCTCGATGGTGACACGGTCGCATCTTCTCATCGGATCGACGATGTGATTTAAAATTTAATTCATCGATGCTACGCCCACTTTATTTTCACCGTCAAGACTATTTCTACATTCTTGCATCAACTACGGCAAGATTTTCGAATTTATTAGTTTAAACTAATCGAGATTCTTGAAAAATAATGGCAGTTAAAAATTAAAAAATAGTCAAGTCAATAAAAATAAATACATAAATTAGCGAAGAGAGAGAGAGAGAGAGAGAGAGTCTTCTTTTTAAGAGCTTAATTTATAACAAGCTATCATGTTAAAATAAACTTCTAGATTGGAGTGTGTCGCATCGCTATAAAATCACGATGATTTCATTCAAGAAGGCGCATAAAAGATACCTAAAGAATTTAAATTGACTCTACTCTTTTCTTTTTCTCAGATGACACGATTAGATTATCGAGGGAAATGTCGAGCCGTCGTTTGATGCACGGCATTCGTAACTCCGCCGAAGATCTCGATCAGAGAATTTACAACAATTTGGAACATCAGAACCTGTACGCGTTGGACCTGAACTGCGATTACGCCATCAGAATTTTACGACAGGTACCAAGTGCCTATTACGTATCGTCGCGAGCACAAATACAGGCGATTCGTTTAGATTAAAAGGATCGAAAAAGTAAAAGGTAAAGTAAAAAGTAAAGGTAGAGCGACTCTTCATCTTGCCACTCATTGTTTATCGACGTTAAAATTTTCGCCCGAGGCCCGTAGAGTGTTTATTCACTGTTACCCAATTTGAATTATGGTTCATCGTCAATAGAGGCAAAGTAATGGTCGTAAATGGATGAATGACGCGTAAGAATTATTCTTTCGTTGTTCACATTAATTAATTCACATTAATTAATTTGAAAGTAAAGAAGGCAACTCTCGACGAACTCTCAGAGCAATAAGTTCGCCGAGAATTGCCTTCTTTATTCTCTAATTATTTGACACTTAACTCGGCATAGTTAATTAATTGTTATCTGATATTACGCAACAGGCGCATTCAAAGAGGATGTTCGTCGCCCCGATGAAATGGCTGCTTCTTCAGGATCGAAGAACGATAATCAATAACGATGATAACGTAACTTCCACGTATGATGACTCAGTGCTGGAGGTCTTCGGGAATCTAGCTGTCTATCCTGACAGTGATGTAGTCCTCGCGCGAAGATTCGACGGTGATTTTCTTCATTTGACGTCTGTGTATCGACCAAGCCCACAACGAGGAGTGATATGGGAAAATCGCGGGAATTGGACGATGAAAAACGGTCTACAGATGAGAACTTTTGATGTGGCTTCAGCACGAAGAAGAAATCTTCAACAGACAGCTCTTAAATCCTCGATCGTGGTACTTTATATCATACGCGCCCATCATGCAGGAAAATACACTTATAAGTCAATTATATTCCTTTTACGAGTAATCTATGTAACACCTTATTATTATTTTATTGTAAAAAAATAAAGAGAAAAAAATAAAGAGAAGAGAGTAATTCCATGCTTAGATTTTATTTAGGTATTCAGAATTTTTTGTATAAAAAATATAATCTGTTTTATCTTTGCGATTGCAGATGACAAATCCTGACACAATCAATCATTTGACTGATTATAAATATAGTACCATAGATCCAATCACGAAGGCTAATTATATTTGGATACTATATTTAGTAAGCCGAATGAATGCAACGTGAGTTTTGTCTTAAGATGTTAAAACATATCAATATCATTGAAATAAAATGAATAAATGAATAAATTTTATGGCAATAAAATCAAGTTTGCCAATTATTTTTGCGAATCTAGTAATAAATATAAATCAATAATATTTAGGTTCATATTCTAAACTCACTTTTATCAATGTGAATTGGAAATACGAGTCTTAGATTATAACTCGTATTCCACATAATAATAAGACTATTTATTAATCAAACTTTAATAATAATTAATCAAATTATATATATTGTATTATATAAATATAAAATATACGAATTACTATTACATATATGTTAAAAAAAGATTATAAAATATTTGTATTAAACTACAATTAGATATATGAATAAAATCTAATTAAATAAGCATTTTATTAATAAAAATCAGGTCTATCCAATTCGATTGCGAGAAGACGTTATCATAATTTTTCGATTATCTTTTTCAAAAACGCTTTTCTATGTTTCTAAAGAATATATACGATCATTAGCAACTGTAAAAAATTGAATAATCCTGATTTATGCAAAGTAATGAAAGTATTGAAAATCAATACACTGTGATTTTTATCATGCCTTTTCATTTCATATAACAGAATAAGTTTTGAGGTTGCGGACACTTGGGGATATCGCGACAAAAATGGCTCTTGGAACGGGATAGTTCAGATGTTGGATCGACGCGAAATCGATATCGGCACTGCTATGTATCTGGTGACAGAACGTATCCCCGTAGTGGAATATATTCAATTATATACACACTCTCGGTAAAATTGCATCTAATTTAATTTGAATCAATCAAATCTTCAATATTATTATATTACAATTCATTAAAGTAAATTTATCTTTGCGAAATAAAGTAAGGCGGTACATTAATCAATATGTTACATAAATATAAAAATATTCATGTAAACAGTTTTGTCTTTATCTCTTATAGATATACTTATTGTTAGTGCTATAATTAAAATAAATACAGTCAATCTTTCAATTTTAACTAACAAATTACAACGCGAAACACATGGCACTTTCTCGGTAAGCAGCATCTTGGTTGCTGTAAAGTCTTTTAATATGAAATAAATTCAATTAATTATATTACCAACTACGTGTCGCTTTGATTTAGCGGACTTTCAACATAATGGCTCTATAATAATTCGATAATCAATATTATTGATATCGATTAAAATCCTTTTTATTATCCCCCCCGGAAATATATATTGCGAAAAATCATCTCAGCCTGGATCGCCTGCTTCGAATTTATTTCATATTAAAAGACTTTTAATCAAGATCCTGCTTGCCGAGGAAATGCCATGTTTCGCGCTGTAGTTTGTTAATTAACATGTACTCGACCTATATCTATGTATTGTTCTTTCAATTTTATTTTCCCTATTCTGAAACTTCGATTTGAGATAAAATAAAAAATTTTTATTGCCAGCAAATTGCATCATTATCATTTAATTTTCCAAGATTAAATTATTATTTTATAAAAAATTATTATTTTATTTGTAAAAATTTCGTCCCAATATTGTTCATTAATTATAGCAATAATAATGAAATCATGCTTTCTCATATTTCTTATCAAAATAAAAGATGTAGTTAGTAGTGAATTTTTTATTAGATAAACAAAGATAAAAAATAAATTTGCTTGTAATATATAAAAAAAATGTATAGTGTTCAAAAGTTTAAATTAACTAGTATTATTGGCAATGTAAAATATTATTAATATATAACCTCAATTATATTGCAGTTTGTGTTTCATATTTCGAAAACCTTTATTGTCGACCGTGAAAAATATCTTCGCCTTGCCATTTCAACGGAATGTCTGGATAGCAATCGCCGTATTTCTTGTTCTCGTCTTTTGCTTGTTATACATATCTACAACATGGGAGTATTATCAAGATGTTTCAACAAAATCGGCAGCCTACTGGAGCCAATTGAATGCCGCACCGACAGTCACCGAGAATCTTCTCATCCTTATAGGCGCATTTGCGCAACAAGGTACACGGATAAATGTAAAAAGCAACATTCAACTTTGCAATTCTCGATTTGCAAAACGAAATATGTCAATAAAATGTATGACAAATACATAAATTTGTAAAATATAATAGAACTTTCCAATATTGAAGTTTTCGAAATCGCATTACTTCAGTGTTTTGAAATTTTTTCTCAATCTCTAGTTTTATTCGACGGAACGTCGAATACGTGAAATAAAACCTTTGTATTTTGCTTTCCATCTCCTTTCTTTCCGTAATCACTTCATTATGTAAAAAATATGGGAGAAAAGAGGTAAACTCAAGGATTTCAATACACACAACGAGAGAATTGTTTGTGGAAAAAAAAATAATAAAAAAAAATAATAAAAAAATAATAAAAAAACGTATTTTGAACAAGAATCCAGAATAAAAACATTTTATCATTTTCTATACATTCGTAGGATATTCATATGAGCCACACAGGGTCCCGTCTCGAATCGTCACTCTCATGTTACTACTCGCCTCACTAAGCCTCTACGCCTCTTACACAGCGAATATTGTAGCCCTTTTGCAATCCACCACGGATTCAATCAGAACTCTTTCCGATCTCTTGTACAGTCCGCTAAAGCTCGGAGTACAAGATGTACAATACAACCGACATTATTTCAAGGTTGATAAATTAAAGTTAATTCTTTTAAAACGAAGAATCTAGTAACAGGAAAATTATATCAAAATAATTTTCCTTTTGTCCGAATACAGGCGCTTCAAGATCCTATTAGAAAAGCGATTCTAGAAGAAAAAATCGAGCCGAAAGGGCAGAAATCTAACTGGTTGTCTCTGGAGGAAGGAGTGCGCCGCATAAGAAATGAATCCTTCGGCTTTCACGGCGCGGCAAGTCCTATATATCAAGTCATACAGCGTACATTTCAGGAAGAAGAAAAGTGCGGTCTATCTGAAATTGATTACATAAATGCGATATATCCGCTTCTCGTGATACAGAAACAATCGCCTTATTTAGAGATAATAAAAAATGGGTAAGTTTATCTCGACTTGTCACGTTCTCAAATAAAAGATAAGAATTTACGTAAATGAATTGAAGTTTAACGTGAAAGTCAGAAAAACGCTTAATAATGCTTCGTATTAAGTAAGTCTATAATTATCTTAAGATCAATCAAAGATATAATCTAAAAAAGTTGATACTGTAAGCGTTATACTTGTAATGTAAAATTACGCTTTCATTGGAAATAATTTTGTTTATAAAATTATCAAAATACAATATACAAAGTATCTCAGAATTGGTATAAGCGAGAAAGAGGTAATATTAAACGAAAAAACTAAGTTAAAAATATAGATTGAATTTTTTTTGTGATCATCCTTTTCTCGTTTATATTATCAGTTTTAAAATATCTTGTAAAGAACATCTCGATTTTTGGGAGAAAAAAATCGTCTACTAAAAGAATATATCTTTTAAGATTTTTTAATATTAACTTGTTAAATCGTATTCAAAAATAATTTTGTTTTGCAATTAAGTTTGAAGAAAATTACGTTGGACGCATAAATTGCTAGAATAATACTCGACTTATGACATAATACTCGAGAAAAATATTTTACAGAGCTTTGAAATTACGAGAATACGGATTGAAGTATCGCGACGAGTATCGTCTGTATATAAAAAAGCCAGTGTGCTCGAGTCAGACTAGCTTCATCACCATTGGTTTCACAGAATGTTACTTTGCGATAGTCGCAATGGGTTACGGAGCATTACTTAGCGTTATCGTGTTTATACTCGAGTTGCTGTGGCACAAAAGGTAATGTTAATAAGGAAGATTACCTTCCATACACGCCATTATTATCTTGTATTTCTCTTCATAGGCAAAATCAAGCTATACCAGAAGAGGCAATTCCAACTGTGGTAGAAAAAACGGACCTTGAAAATATCAATTATATTGACTAGATTATTGCAAAACTACACTGTATTCATTTAGCAAAATCTAAAAGAGAATTAAAGACTTTCTAAATTTCTGATAAATTACTTTGATTGCTCAGCGGATTCTTTCGGCGATTTTACGAAGGAAAGTCGATAGTCAATATTAATTTAGTACATATTAATATAGCTTATGGTAATTAGTAGTAGAAATTAATAGTAGAAAGTATTTATGCAATTCTACTTAATGGAAAGAAAGCTAGCCTCAAAGCTTTCTCAATGTGCAATATGTACCATTTATTACAACATAAATAAAATTCTCGCCTTGCAATGCAATATGTGTTACAAATTAATTAACAAAAAAAGCTGTTTTTGTAATCTCATGCAAGTTTTAATAAAGATCATTAAATGTACTGCATATTGTATGTATATTTATTTGTATTCTAAAATACATCTCTACATAAGAATCAATTAATATTGTAAACATAATTTCTCATGGTTAAATCAATATAATTATATTAAAAAATTACAAAATATAGTCATATATTATTTATGCTTAATTTATGCCTTATTCTTTCAATTTATTCTGTTTTATATCTCTTGTAGAAATTTAATATTGAAAAATAAAAATTAATTATTTTGAGTAGTCTTGTTTAACAATGTTAAAAATAGTGTTGTTTAATGTTTTTGTTCGAAATAAGTAATTTCTAATATTAATTTGGCCAATATTAAATTAGATTTCTAAGGGATAACTTTGCGTTTACATTTTACAATAATTTTAGTTCAATAAGTGAATTTAATTATACATATATAAATAATTGTTATGTGAGCATTTTGTTTAAATCTCCAAAGAATATTAGGAAATCTATTATTCCAACTGCCGTCATTTGTCAATCGAATATATACTGTGCTGACATCTGCTGACAAAATCTCATATCAATTTATGTGATGTGAAAAATGCGGTCACGCGCGAATATATGAATCTAGATATATATATATACTGAGTCGGAGA